GTTTGAAATTCCCCAGTCACACTCTGCCAAGAGTAAGAAGGCCTTGAGTCTCCTCCACTCAGAGTATTACATGAGATATATTATACTTTAAGTGTACTTTGTTTGTTTTGTGAGAAAGTGAGACTGCCCTGATGTAATGAAATCTTTGATTACAATATTCAGTCTGAATACGAGCCTATCAGCTTCAAGGCCAGACTTTTTCACAGAGGAACAAGATTGAATTCCAGCGCTGTGGAAACACGTGGGAGCTGTGCAGCTCTCGCCATGTCTCTTTTCTTTTCATAAATATCACCACAATTTCCCCAGCAGAGCATGACGTAAACAGAAGGAGGGTCGTTTACGACTGACTGCTACGAAATGATAATCAGACCTCCCGCACTTAAAAGGGGAAAGAGAGATCAGCAGAAGGCCAAAAGGAAACCAAATCCCACGCATTGTTACTTTTACCATCATTCTGAACGGCTCAGTGCAGGAGACGGTGGATATTTCAAGTTCATATTGGATCCAGTCGACACGCAACATGACGATGTTCTTGATTTAAGATATACAAGAGGAAATATTACAAAGCATATTGGTGCTATTCTGGAAAAACCTCCTCTGAAAGTAAATCTGTTTGGGGTCAGAAGCCTGGAGAGGGGTTTTATATGTAGACAGACCATTTTACAGTTTTTGATCAAAAAATGTAAAGTGTGTTTTTAATTAGCACAAAAATGCTTTACATAACAACTATCTTACCTTGGCTCCATTTAGCTGTAGTGGATCTTTGATCATATGGAATGATCTCCAGCAGCACATGGATTTCTCTCAGGGTTCTGTAACTACCACTTATCAATCAATCATCCTTCAGTAAAGTCAGACAGGCTCATTTGTCAATGGGAAATGGAATGTACCTATATGGTGCTTTTCTGGTGTTCTGGACATGTTACATTCCCCCATTGGCACACTAATGACAGGCGGTACTATGCAACGTGCCCGTCAGTATTAACTAATCCCATTCGTACACATTTGCACACCACTGGCTGTTCCATCAGGAGCAATGTGGGGTTCAGTTCTGGAGCTTGGATTGAACTGCCACCTTCAAATAAAAAGACAGACAATCTGCTCTCCCACTGAGCCGCAGCTGAAAAAAAGAAAACACCTGATGAGGCCTGATGATAGAATATAATCATGATACTTAAGTCTCCATAAGATGATTTCCATTTAAAACACTTTTAGACATTCTGAGTATGGGAATAACATTGCCATTTGTTGCTTTTTTTAAAAAGCAAAATATGTCACTGAAGGAAAACTTGGTCCACATCTGACAAACAGAGCAGCATTAATGTTAAAAACCGACATAAATGTTGACATGTATGACAGTATTTTAAACAAAGCCCACTTTCGCATAATAAACACATAATAACACATTAACAATTGTGAATCCATCTTTTTGGACCATCTGGATTCTAACCCCACTGACTGCAACCTCTGACCTGCGCTGGCCTTCCCACATGAAAACTCATGCACAAGCACCACCTAGTGGACTGACATAGCAACAGTTTTGACATAGTTTAATAACTGTATGTGTTCAAGTTACTCAATGGATACAATAAGCAGCGATACTATATGATGTCAGACCAAGATGAGAAGCAAAGCATCTCATTTATGAAGCTCAAATAAATGATTAGAAAGATGGTTTATCATAACATTTACCTGTTTTAGCCTTTATTTAACAGGAGAAAACTCTTTCTGTAATTAACTTCACTGTGACATTTTGATTGACTGAATTAATCAATTGAAGTTTTAAAATTGTAGATGAAGAGAGAGGAGAATAAATGAAAGTGAGAGAGATGAGGAATGAAAGGATGAAGGAAGCAAGAGAGAATGGAGAGACGGGAAGGGAAGAAGTATCTACACTTCAAAGATGATAGGTGAAGAGGGAGGAAAAGGGGACAAGGGAGGAAGGAAGAAGGATGGGAAGGGAGACAAAGTGGAGAGGGTAAGGAAGGAGAAAGGAATGAAGCAAAATAGAATATGGATGTAGAGGAAAAATGAAGAGGAAAGGGGAGAAGGTATAATATAGAGGGAGAGAGGGAAGACATTAACAAGGAAGAAGGGAAGGACACCAGGACTGCCAAAGGGTACTGTGACTGCTGTAGAGCTGCAGATGTGATGCACGCAGCTGTTTCAGCTGTGCGAGCTTCCTGCTCACTAACTCATTGTGTCTCTTTCTCCTGCAGACATCAACGAGTGTGAGGACATCAGTGACAAGGTGCCCTTGTGTGAAAACGGGCAGTGCACCAACACAGAAGGATCCTACAAGTGCACCTGTTCGCCGGGCTTCGTGGCCTCTGCCAAACCACACAAATGCATACCGGCCATCCCAGAGCTGAGGCCCACGGAAACAGACAACTGAGAGACCGAGACTGTTGGAGTGCTGGCTTCTCCTGCATTCTTTAAACATCACCTTAACACCCCCCCCCCCCTCCCCTTGCCCTTCTCCTGAGGGCCTGGCAATAAACCTCCAACAGTAACGCTGAGACGTCCAAACGTTTTTCCTCACAAACGCACATAAATACAAAAAGCACACACACATGCATTCAGAACAGAACACACTCCAACCCCCCCCCCCCCCCCCCCAAACACACCCAAGAGGACCAGGAATTGTGCAGTGAATGTATTACGTGGGATTTAGTATTCACCAGATATCCATTGCCTTAAAGGGATTTTGTGGACTGATCTTTTTTATTCAGTAACCCCAGGCAATTTGATATGCAGATATACTTTCCATATTATTTTCTCTGTCACTTTTTTGTGTTGTTATTTATTTCATTTACATGACGGGCCTCTGCAAAATGAGAAAGCAACGTATTTCAGAGGGCTACTTGATTCCTTTATTATGTGTCTCACAAAGAGACAGTGTGGGAAGATCATTGTTGTGTTTTTTTTTTTGGTAGAAGAAGGAATGTCAACCCATAAATCAGCTTGTGCTTCATATGTCAAACCTCTCTCCAATATTTACCCCCACACCATCATTTGAACCAGCATTGGCCTTGGACTGAGTCGATGCCAGAGCTGACAAAAACAAAACAAAAAATCAAGAAATTGAAAGACAAAGATTTTGCTCTCCGTTCTTCAAGATCAACTACGAGCTGAACTGAAGAATCTTTGGACCCAGATCACGGAGGTCACACACAGCCAGACTTACACATCAAACATTTGAACATGGACCTGGAAAAGACTGTAGATGTATATTATGGTTTCTGTTATGTTATAAAGAAAAAAGGTGCAATCGGTAAAACCTGCCTTCCTGTGTTTGACAACAGTTTACAATCACAACAACCCTGCTCATTTTGAACTGTATTCATTTGTTTTCTACTCTTTAACAAGCACATATAAACCATGACTTTTCAAAGTTTGATTCTAGGTTCTAACCTAACCTCTTAAACAGTAAGGTAAGTTTAATTATCCACAAATATTACAGCTTAAAGTGACAGATTGGTTTTATGGGCCATTGTTACACAGGCCCTGCATGTCTCTCATCAGACCATTCCCATGTCTGTATCTCCAGATGGAGCGTTACACGAAGGCTTTGTTGGAGAGCTTTGGTATATTTTGTACAGATCTAGTACTATGTATTATTTTTGTTACATATTCTCTTAATGCATTATAGCACAAACAATATTTCTTTGACATAAAAGCATACAATGTAAGACAAATCTGGCATTATAGCTTTGTAGATTTATTCATGTCTGTACAAATGTTTTTTTTTTTTTTTTATGTGTGAGGAGAGTGGCTGACACTGTACCAGAGGAACTGTGTGTGTATACCCTGCCCTGTGGAGCAGACAATGAAATATATTTTTTTGGAAGTGGCAGCACTGTTCTAATCACAGATATTTTTGTCTCTTCCTTACAAAGACAATGCTTTTCAAATGCAAGCACCGGCGTCTGTACATCACAAGTTTGAATTTGAAACATTACTTCTTTTAGCCGCTGTTGGATTCTATTTTTATGAATGTACCGTAGACAATATCAGCATAATCATTTGGTTTATGAACTCTGCTCGCACCTTTTTGTCTTTTATAATCAGGTTAAAGAAAACAACGGCATTATGGACTGAACTTCTCTCAAGAAATCGTAGTAATGCAGGACCATAAAGTCTACTTGAATAAAGTTAGACGTGTGTCCATATCTCGCATTCATAACCTATTAATTCAAAGCTGTACAAATGTTTCCACTTCAAGTTGACTGTTCCTGTTCACATCATCACCTTAAGCGGACCAGAAGTCGGATGTTTAGATCAAAGTTGAAATATTTAAAAGCCTTACAAACCCACGAATAACTTGAGATAAATGTCTCGTTGTAAAGCTGTGGTCATTTAAAATATCATGCTCATTCATTATGTTTACCTCTTGACTGTAATCTCTATCAGTCATTAAAATAAAAATGTAAAAAACATCAGTCTCTTTGAACAATTACTCTAAAAATGGCACTCAACACAAATGAACTTACCATCAATTACAATCATATTCAGATAATAAACTGAAGTTATCGTAACAATGATGAAACTGCATGTATCTTACCAAGTACGTTTCTATTTAAGGTATTATCAGGTATTTGAAGACATTGAGAAGCAAAGGCACTTTCAGAGTGTTTTTGAGTAATACATCATCTTTAACCCTGAGCATTTGGGAGTAAAGCTTTCAATATGAACCACAATTACTGAATTTACTCGAATAATAATATGTATCCATTGTATTAAAACTTTTCAACATTTAAAACCTCTTTGAAAATAAGAAACAGATACGTTAAGATAATGTATAATACTTTGGCTCCCTCTAGTGGACAAAAAGAGCTGCAACTCGTTTACGCTTCCAAGATCTCCATAACACTTTTCCTATTGGTTACCGGGGACGAGGAGTCATCCCATTGGGATTCTGGGAAATTGTGTTTCGCTTGGAATACCATGCCACACATTGCAACAATACACTAGAATACATCTCCCAGAAGCCACTTCGCCTCATACGTGTTTCGTGATTCTAACAACAACTTCTCGCTCACTGGGTAGCTAATACGATTTTCTTTTATTAAAACGTTAAATTGAGGCAACAGAAACTGTACGCAGTTTATCACCTGCTACTGTTTGGAATGCCGCCTTCTGTGTAGCAGATAGACTACTCTGTAAATTATCAAGATAGGATAAGTATGTTATCGACACAAGAGCCAGTAGTTCAGTGACCATGTATCTGTTATTATGTCAGATAATTCAAGTAGGGAAGGTGCGACATTAAATGTCAGTTTTCACAGTCAACATTAAGGACTGACACCTGGTGCTCAAGTGTTAAATTAAACTATTATCTCAGCTAAGTTAGCTGACTTTGACGTTCAAAAACACCTACATAAAACCCGTTATCTAGCTGTTTTTAACTTGCATGATAAGGTAGTGCAACCTTAATAAATAAAGACTTACCTGGCTTCTAGGAGTCTGGCTATTAAACATTAAACAAGTTTAATTTTCTAATGGCAAAGGAAGGATGCATTACACAGTGGAACACAACAGAGGACACCTCAACACTACGAAACAGAAAAACTGCATCCACCTCCCAGAACCAGTCCCTTCCTTTTTCAAAAGGCAGAAGCAGTCAAACTCCGGGACACTTGTCAGAAGATGACACTCAGTCCTCAAATGGGACATCAGCTAAGTCTGTGGCCACAGGAAATGTCAACAATGAGTCAAAGAGCAGAGTTTTGCTGATGCTGGTGGTGGGCTTGTCTTTCTCCACACGCCTCTACAAGATAACAGAGCCTCCTCATGTGTGGTAAGTAACAATCCTCTGCATGCATGAATGTGGACTTTGTGCATGTGTGTTTTTAACAGAGCGGTTTTGGTTTTTACAGTTGGGACGAAACACACTTTGGAAAGATGGGGAGCTACTACATCAACAGGACCTTCTTTTTTGATGTTCACCCTCCTCTTGGAAAAGTGAGATGGCGGATTATCCACTTAATGCAGGCTCAATTTCTTCATGCAAAAGTCTGGCTAATGACTCCTTCTTGACACTGTTGCAGATGCTGATAGGCCTAGCAGGTTACATGACTGGTTATGATGGCACCTTTCCCTTCGTAAAGCCAGGAGATAAATATGAACACCACAACTACTGGGGGATGAGAGGAGTAAGACACTCTCTACTCCAGAGGACATGCCAACATTCGTTAAATGGACTTAAGGCAATTTAAATGTAAGATTTCTGTCACAACTTTGAGAAACAAGGGGTATCTTTTCCTCCACTTTCTCTACAGTTTTGTGCCGTTCTGGGCTCCTCTCTCCCAGTCTTTGCCTACCTCATCGTGTTGGAGCTGTCACAGTCACACACTGCTGCTTTCATCGCTGCCACCTTGCTCATATTTGGTAAGCAAATGTCTAATTATTTAAAAGAGTTGCACAACTCAGAATATAAGGCAGCATATACATATTCCCTGTCATGATAAAAAAAGGTATAATTTTGCTAATCTCACCCTCCTTTCAGACACTGGCTGTATCACCATTTCCCAGTACATCCTGTTGGACCCTATACTCATGTTCTTCATCATGGCAGCTGTGCTGAGCATGGTCAAGTTTAAACAGCAGAGATACAGGTAGGAAGACCTTGTGGTAATCAGCTATCCATTAAGTAATCCACAATTTGTTTTCTTTCAATTAAAATGCAACAAAAAAGAAAAATTGTTGATACAGCTTTTTATTTGCTTGTATTACATTATAATATTGAAACAAATCACACATGTTCAATGGCTGGTACACACCCTTTATTTGGTTGGCGTTAACTCACTCCTGTGGCTGTGGCTCAGTGGTAGAGCTGATCCCAAGCTCCTGCAACCTCATGTCTATGTGTCCCTGTGCAAGACACTTAACCCCAAGTTGCTCCCGCTGCTTCGCCTGCGGCGTATGCATGTGTATGAATAGATTAGGTCGTTCTGATGGACACTTTAAATAGCAGCCTCTTGATCACTGTGTGAGTGGATTAGTGTGACCTGCACTGTACAAGCTCAAGCACATTTACCATTTCATGTATCTTTCCTTGCTGACGTCTACAGATCTTTTACTGCCTCCTGGTGGTTCTGGCTGATACTGACAGGTGTCAATCTCGCGGGGGCACTGGGGGTGAAGTTTGTGGGTCTATTTGTCATCCTGCTGGTGGGACTGAACACAGCCTGGGACCTCTGGATTCTTTTTGGAGACCTCAGCCTCTCACTGGTAAACAACAACTGATAATGTAGATGTATGTTAAAGATCTAAAGATTCATCTTTTTTTCTAATCTTACTTTCTGTCTCTAGGTGGAAATTGCAAAGCACTTCCTGGCCCGGGTTGCTGGACTCATCCTGCTCCCCCTCCTCTTATATGTTACAGTGTTTGCGGTCCACTTTGTCGTGTTGAACAAAAGGTGTGCCTCGTTGATATATTGCGCTAACGGTGTGTGCGATGGCGTTCACTCGTTGTTTGGGTAATCATGATTGTTCTTCCTCATCAGTGGGCCAGGAGATGGTTTCTTCAGCTCGGCCTTTCAGTCCCGCCTGATTGGGAACAATCTACACAACGCGTCCATGCCTGAGTGTAAGTCTAAAAAACACAAGTGGATAAAACCACACAACACTGCAGCTGTGTTTACTGAAAAAAAAAAAAAAAACAGAAAAGGGGGTCAAAGAGAAATAAAGGCTTTCCTTTAGTACTGATGACAGCCAGATGTGCTATAATGTTCACAAAGAAGCATGTCTGGGTTTTATACGTTAGGATAATTTAAACTCCGCTACTTTGATTATCTAGTGTGGTCACTCACTGTAAACGCTTCAGAATACATTGTTCATTTACTTTAATGGTGTCTTGTAATTTGTTTGACGTTCTTCTCATGCAGATCTGGCATATGGTTCCACCATTACAATCAAGAACCTCCGTATAGCTGGAGGTTATTTGCACTCTCATTGGCACTTATATCCTGAGGGAGTGGGAGCACGGCAGCAGCAGGTCAGACTACAGACTCGAGCATGAGGCATGATTATAATGTAATAATATCTGTGCTGTTTTCATTTATTCCACATGAACTCTCTTGCACACAGGTGACAGCATATCTGCACAAGGACTACAACAACTTGTGGCTTGTTCACAGAGCGGATCTAAATGATTGTGAGAAAGCACGGCTGCCGTATTGTTTATACGTATACCAATCATTCATGTATGACTTGAGGGTGTAATGTATGAGCCTCTTAATTTAGATTTCTATTGATTATCTCTTTTAAGCTCATTCTGGGACACCTGATTTGATTCGTCATGGTGACATCATTCGACTGGAGCACAAAGAGTAAGAACATGAAAAAACGTCTCTTATTGTTTGTTGTTTTAAATGCTTAAGTGCTATCAAGTCAAACAATATGCCGATTTGAAAGGAAATATTGTTGCTCCTAATCCTTTTAGAACAACTCGTAACCTTCATGCTCACATCCATGAAGCCCCTCTGACAAAGAAACACTTCCAGGTTACAGGATACGGCATTGTGAGTATGCGCGTAACACCTGAACATTAAACAGCACGAAGCTAAAGGCAGATTACTTGTTTCACTGCTCTGATGGTATGTTCTTGTGTGTATGTCACTGAAGCCTGAAACTCATCTCCACCTTTGTTTTGCACTCAGAATGGCACAGGTGACCTCAATGACCTGTGGCAGGTGGAGGTCTGTGGAGGTCGTAAAGGTGACCTTGTGAAGGTGCTGCGCAGCAAAGTCCGCTTTGTGCACCGAGCTACCGGCTGTGTGCTTTACTCCTCCGGAAAAACTCTCCCGAAGTGGTATAAACATGTCTCCTCTGCTTGTGATTTCACCTCACGTTCATGTTATGTACGGACAGTGACAAAGTCGGGTTTTTTTTTTGTGTTTAGGGGCTGGGAACAGGTGGAGGTGACGTGCAGTCCTTACTTGAAGGAGACTCCGAGCTCTCAGTGGAACATTGAAGACCACATCAACCCCAAATGTATGATCAAAACCTTGCTGTTTAGTTTTCTCTGTTTGTACTCAGCGATGTCTGCACTAACCAACATTACTTACTTTTCCTCGTCTCTTCTGGCAGTGCCCAACATTAGTCTGTCTGTGCTGAAGCCTCATTTTCTGGAGATCTTGCTGGAGTCCCACATTGTCATGATAAGAGTAAGAAACAAAGAGAAAAGAAGTGACTCAATCTGTGCTCAAATAAAGTGTTGTATTTGAAATGATTTACTGACAGCAGAATGTGTTTTTAGGGAAACAGTGGCTTAAAACCAAAAGATAATGAGATGAACTCCAAACCCTGGCACTGGCCCATCAACTACCAGGTACATTTCATCATTAATAGTATTGAGTTACATTTATAATGTTAAATACTAATTCAAACTACTTCCTGTTTGTTTCTGTAAAGGGATTGAGGTTTTCCGGAGTGAATGACACAGAGTTCCGTGTTTACCTCCTGGGGAACCCTGTGAGTCTTGCCTACTTGCTGCTGTCATCTTGTCTGAACAGCTTACATAACCCCCTCATGATTAAATTCTCTCTTTCTTTTTTTTTTTTTTTTTAAGGTGGTCTGGTGGACGAACGTGATCACTTTAGGATTGTACCTCCTTATGGTGGCCGTGGCGTCTATAGCCCTGCAAAGAAGGTTCTCATTGAGCCAAACAAGAATAGGTGTGTTTATAAACATGGTCAAATAACAGCGTATCCTGTTAGCTGCAGCAGTAGAATGATGACTTAAATATGAACTCCACATTATCTTTCAGAGCATTCTCTCGTTCTGAAGAGAGAAGGCGGGTTGCTGCTCCTCGGTTGGTTGCTGCACTATGCACCTTTCTTTACTATGGGCCGGGTTCTCTACTACCACCACTACTTTCCTGCAATGCTCTTTAGCAGCATGCTAACAGGTACCAAACTCAAGCTATGTGTGCAGACGATGGATCTTAAAAATGAGGGATAGTTTAAGGGGATTGGGAAAGGTATTTCTTGGGGGAAGTTTTCCTTATCAAAGGTTCCTAACTAAGGCTCTACTGTACAGATCGAGTATGATTGTTATGGTATCGATTGTAAAGCCTATTAAAGCAATATATATGGGACTATGAAAGTCTAACTTGAACTTGGATTCATTACTTGGAGAATCTGATTGCTACTAAGTTTAATGTAAACCCAAAGACATGGTACATGGATTTTTACATATTTTATTATATACAAATCATAAATATGCAAAGTCAGAGAAATTAAAAGATGTAAGGTTTCCCTGGAAAACTTGCCCGAGCATTATTAGTTTAAGTTACATTTTCTTCAGTTTCAAACTAATCCAGTCGGTGTTTGTTTCTTTCAAACAGGAACTACTTCTAGATCATTTGGCATACTGGTAATAATGCCAAGTTGCAAATGTGAACAGATAAACCATTGACCCAAACATGATGCTACATGTTAACAATGTGCGAGCATTATAGAAACTGTGGAGACGAGCTTGATTTTCAGAAGCATGATTATCCCCAAACTGAAGAAAGACAGGATTAATAAAAGGAACAAAAATGTCCTTTAAATGTTCTTTCAAATTCAGTTGTCAGTCAGTCATTCTAACCTTTTTTTTTAACCCCTGATAAAGACAAAGCAGTTGTGTTGGTTCACAGGTTTTCTTTTTTTCTCGTTGCAGGAATAACCTTAGATGTTCTTTTGAAAAGCACTGACCTGCTGCTCCGCCCTCCTTACTCCAGCTGGCTTCAGAGAGTCGGGCTGCTGGTGCTTCTGTTTGGTGTTCTTTACAGGTGAGATGACCAACAGAGCAATAACTGTAAAAAAAAAATGTTATTTTTATCCTTAAGGGAGTACTTATTTACTCTCTCTGGGTACAAAGATTGGCACCACTCTCATGTCTGTCACTGAATATTGAAGCTAATGCCGTCAACTATTTGGTTTAGCTTAGCTTAATACAATGGCTGAAACAAACAGCTAGGCTGCATCTGTCCAAAGGTCAGATCTGCCCATCACAAGCTACTTTAGTAGAATCTGTAGTTATCCTGTTAAAGCTTTTTTTCCAGTTTATCTCGGCAACCCAAATGCTAAATCTTTATTAGTATACTTCAGATGCAGATTGTACACAGAGCCACACTAGCTGTGTTCCTTCCAGTTTTAATTAACGTGCACACATACAGTCAGAGAGGAATCGGTCCTCTCATAGTCCGTCTCAACAGGAAAAGTTCACGCATTTTACAAATTCTGTTGCAAAGCAGAAGGCTGGAGTCACTTGTAGTGGATTTCTCCCTGGTGACCTACTGAATGTATAGCTCTCTAAAGAAGTAGAACAACTCCTACTCAGGCCTTAATTTAAAATGGACTCAGAACCCCTATCTACTTCAAAAGTGTTTTTATTTGGACTTTGTATTAATCACAGTAATCCACTCTCTGTCAGTTTCTACCTGTTCCAGCCGCTCTCCTACGGCATGACGGGTCCCCTAGCACACGAGCCGGGTAGTACCATGGCTGGCCTGAAGTGGATGGACACCTGGGAGTTTTAGTCTTCTTTGTATTGTTTTTTTTTTTTTAAACAAACAATAATACTATGATGTAGGATGATAGTTCTGAGTATAAGGTACTTTAATCAAACATGACTTACTGTATGGCCAGTTTACATTCAAGGATATTTTCACAAGGTACTGACTGCACACACTACTGAAGAATCTCTTTGTCTTGGTATTCATGTGTCCCAACATTTCCAAGTATTGTAGTCTATCAGGTTAAATTTATATTTTACAAGAAGGACCTGAAAAAGTGCAATATGAAGCCAGAATGTTGTGGAGAAAGTTACGATCCAGACACTAATAATGTCCAAGTTGCCTTAAATCAAGACACATCTTACATTCTTCACTCGTAATAAAAATGTACACTGACAGTATTTCACATCAATAAGCTGAAGTGCCTGAAAGGACTGGTGAAAGTGAAATGCTGCGTCTTGCTGCTCAGAAAACATTTTTGTTTCATAGGTACGGAGCATGTTTTTGTTTTACATTTGTCTTGATCTCAATGTTTACTCTGTATTTGTTTTGTATATCAGTGCTGTCCAGGACTGAATACCCCCCCCCCTCCATTTTAAGACTAAAACTAACTCAGTATCATATGTAGATCTCAGTGTTATCAATAAACTATGATATTCTTGTAATCTATGGTTACTTGTATATATATATATATATATATGCCATTTATTTCAACATGTTTGTGCTCTCTTTACACTTGCATAAGATTTATCTTATATTTTTATTTTAACAGACACTTAAACTGGGGTTTATCTTCCTTTTAAGATTAACAGAAACAATACAGTTCAGGTATATAGTATAAGACAGGCAAAGTAACATAGCAGTCTCAACAAAACCAAGAAAAAAAAAAAGACATCTCAGAATGAAATTGTAACCTTTAAATAACTTTAGAGGTGTATACATTCCCACCACCTTAGCTGAAATGGCATGGGACACAAAATCACAAAATGAACAAACTACTTTCAGTCACTTGGGATAAAAGAATACATTTCCACCTTAGATTTGAAGTACATGTATGAATCGAAGACTACATCTAAACAGGTATGAATAGGCACTTTATGTATTCATCATAGAAAATAATTGCAAGTGTTATTTGATAGAGACGAGAGAATTTTGTAAAAAAAAAATAGATTGCTTGACATGAAGCTGTATTCACCTATTCATTTGCCTCTTGCCTCACCTCGACATCAGTGTATTATGCTGGTTTGTTAACATTATTAAACCAGTAGGCCGCCTGCTGGCACGCTTGTGAATTACACCCCCTACGCGTCAACTCTCAAGACGGCTGCTGCTATTGGCTGTTATTTGTCACGTGTTTATTGTGAAGATGGCGTCTCCAAATGGAGGTAAATTCTAAATCCTTACCCTGCTATGCTGTGTTAAAAATGTAAATTGTACCTATATAAGGGCGTTAAATCGTTAGCGACTCACTTGCTGTCTCTCAAGAACACCACGGGACGACAGAATACACATGTTAGCGTATTATTCTCATGGTTTAAAGATGTTTTTTTACCGTAAGCTAAAGCCTTACTAGCCCCAGTGTTGAGTCTGTCCAGTTCACAGGGAAGCACAGGCGATAACAAGCCTGAACCTTTTGTAACAGCTTGACCCTCACTGCTCTTACTGTTTGTTTTGCTGCTGGTAATAAACACAGCTAACCTCGGAAGCTGCTGTTCTTTGTACAGGCTCATTTACCTCCATATATCTTATAGGTAAGAGTTAAAGTGTTTTACTTGACAACGTCGTGCTTAGTGATGAGCTTTACAAACCCTATTTTCTGCTGTTTTGAATTGTTTTGTACATGACTTTATTGTTTTTCCTTTAGATAGCTTCAACAAGCAGGATCTTTACTGTAAATATGCATTAAACTGAGTTTACCTCGTGTTTTTCCTAGTCTGCATTTGCCCGTTACCATGGTAATCAATGTAGGTGTATAATATATCAATATATACGTGTGTGTCGTGTTTATATTTTCTTACATAATATGCAATTTGTCTACAATATGAACATTTGTATCAATATGTTTTTGAATCAGAAATACTTCCCCAGGGGGAAACTGGGTCTTCACAGTTGCTCTTAGTAGGAGAAATAATAGGAATAATGGTAATATGAATAAAATAAGAAGTTTAAATGTGAGCTAAAGCAATAAGTACAACAAGAAAGAGTGTTGAAGAAATAAGCTATTTTTTAATAGCTAAATTAATTAGCAAAAAGCACAGAGTTAAAGAAAAGATGCAACATACACAAAAGTGCAGCATCAACAGTCAGATAAATGATATGAGCTGTTATGTGGCCATACTGACTATATGTTCCATACAAACATATGTATATATATATATATATATATTAGTATCTCAACAATTCTTTTTAAAAGGCTATTGGTAAACATTCCCCTAAATGTAGTAATGATAGACTAATGGGATTTTCTATTACCAGCTTTTGTTTCGGGCCTGCAACTGAAACATATCATGTTTATAGTTTAAAAAATATATATTTATAGAGTAGAAACTTCTAGGTAAGTCCTACTTGGTTTCTGTAAGGCTGCTACTATTGTTTCATCATAGATTTATCACATTAGTTTCACAATTAAACAACAAACTTTTCATTTTTAAAATATCACAAAACTCGTAACACAATACCTCAGATCCTACAGGGACATGGTAAAGTGGCTGTCCAAAAAGTAAAGACTCTTCATTTGTAATGTTATTCTAAATTCCAAAGAATTGCAAATCCTTACATTTAAGAAGTATGAACTATCAATTGTTTGATGCCTGAAATACTACTGAAAAATATTAACAATTTAAAAAATAGTTCAGCAATTGTTTTTCTTTTCATCAGAATCAGCTTCATGGACCAGGTCTGCTTACACTAACAAGGAGTTTGACTTTAGACTGTGCTCTCTATGTAAAAACTGTAACAGAAACTAATATGTACACGCCTACATAAGACAATTGTGCAGTGGTGAGCAGTGCAAAAGATACGGAAATAAACATGGTAATAAATCATGTAATTATATGGTTTAACCATCAGTCCGTCCACTAGAGGGAGTTAATTGTTCTGAGGACAGTTCTTGGCCATCTCTATCATCTACTAAAGTTGTAGCTAAAAAAATGATTTTCTGTTTGGTGATAGGTGATGATTTTGAGTCCTCATTGCTTAGCTTTGAGAAGTTGGACAGAGCATCACCTGACCTGTGGCCAGAGCAGTGTAAGTTTACCTTCTCCTCCTGCTTTGTGATATTACTCTCAGTGGCATTTTGTTTCCTGTTGTCATAATAAGGATTACAATGTTATCTCTCATAAAGTGCCCGGTGTTGCAGAATTTGCTGCATCTTGTAAAAATGTAAGTAAGATTGATCACTTTGATTTGCAAACAAGACAATGAAATGTGCTTGATAAACTGTAGTATATCTACTCAGACATTTGTTGTATGTTTCACAGCCCATCACTAATTCACCCCCCAAGTGGATGGCTGAACTAGAGAGTGAAGACATTGAAATGTTGAAAGGTAGTGTACCAGACTGTGTTGGGATTTCTAACATGTTCCATGTATCTGAACAATGGGTGTTGAAGAGAAGTACTCTAAATGTATAATCCTGTCATGTGGGATAACATATTTGCTGAAACGAGTGCATTGTAGCTTAGCGCTGTCATTGCTTTTTCTTCTGCAGAGCTAGGCAGTCTGACCACGGCCAACCTGATGGAGAAGGTCAAAGGACTTCAGAACCTTGCGTATCAGCTGGGATTAGAAGAATGTGAGTACATGAAAAACACCAACTACACAATGTACACTACAGACAGTGTGTGTAAAAGATGTGTTAGAAGTATTTTTGCTTTTTATAACAAAACCCCTGAATCAGAAACTAGTTTGCAAGTGGACAGACAGCAACAGTTGCAAAACACATAATTTGAGGTGAATCAAAAGCTGCAGTGTAGCTGCAGTAATCACATGTTGCCACTAGATGGTGCTCACGGGCTTTCTTTATCGAGCTAGTGTATTTTAAAAGCGTCCCGTTTGTTTTGACATTGAAAGCCCTAACAGGCTGAGAGCACATAGGCTTGTATGGTTTATCCAAAAACAGAACAGGCCTCATTTTCAAACTTGTAGTTTCAAATGCCTCTCTATTACTATGAAACAGCATCAATAAGTTGACTCTGAGGTCTTGAAACAATGGATTTGGGTCAATCTTGTTGAATTGTAAAAGGTAAGAGACAATGGCTTGCTCACCCGAGCCCCTAGAACAAGTGCTCAAGCAGTTGATGGATGCAAAATCTCGTTTTTAATCCATTCCCGGCTGCCTCCATTGTCATAATCCTGAGGATTAGAGAGATGTTGCTAAGTGCTCATATTTTCCTGAGAAAATGTTTTCTCGTCAAAAGCACACAAGCAATTTAGAATTGTGGGGAAGCTCTCCTCTTATTGGGATGGAATATATAAATAAATGCACATCTATTTTATTTCTAGGTCAGTGACATTCAACCAACATGCCCGATCATAGGGGCAAACAGTGATCTGAGGTAGAGAGATGAAGAAGCATTTCCTGCATAATGAGCGTCTTATAACAGCTTCAAATGAGTTCACTGCTTTATAAACTCTTTAAAAACAGCCCACATGTATAAATTGAATTATGGCAAACATCATTTTGAGATGTTTCGATTGGCATTGAGGGGAAGCATATGCTGAACTTTTTTAATTATCTTAAGAGATCAGATTTAAGTAAAGGAGCTGACTGCAGAGGGATTGAAATGTTTGATATTTGAAGTGGTGTAATGCACACATGTCAAACTGAAAATCTATAGGAAAGTCTAGAGAAGAGTAAGTACTTATTAAGCCTCAATAGATTGTGTAGCATGTGTCATATTTTGCACCAACCACAAGTCACAGATACTTTTCATTGAAAAAGTGTTTAATCTCCCCGACTTCCCTAAACCCAGAGATGCATGTAATCCGGCTGGCATTAAGATGTTAGCTGTCACAGGTGGAGGCCTGCAGGCTTTGCAATCATCTCATGCACCTCAGGGTGATGGGACACAATGACGGTTATTACGGGTGTCGGAGCAGCCCTGTAATGGGTGCTGTTTAATGCTCTCTGGTTTAATTTTCTCCGTTTCCTGGTTGTAAGGAAAGGCCTTGTAAATCTCAGATAGTTTTTCATCATGTTTGTGCTCTCTTCACTTCCCGTAAACGAGTATCCACAGAAAATGGCCAAGCGACAGCGGGCGGGGGGGGACAGGATTTACTGTCCCTCCCCCTTCAACATGTGGACCATTAAAGAGGTAGCTGGTTAATGGGTAGAGCACAATCAGGCTGTGAAAAGTCACCCACTCTACCGCAGCAGAGAAGAGAACCTGGAGCAAACATTATTGCGAGAATAGCATTTCAAATACTCTGGAATACAAACATTACTAGTGCTTGTTTAAGCTGTAAACATATATATCAACAGGGATGTGGAGGGAGGATGTTGCAAACCAGTAATCCCCACTCAACACCCTACCCACCCTTCTCCCATAAACACCCCCCATAATAGCTGTATGACGCTGGCCGGGTCTAGTCCCAGAGGGGTTTGACGCGTGCCTCTTCCTCAGGCCCCAGCTGTTACTCCGCCCCGTGATGAATGCCCCTGTCG